ATTAATTGTACAGTTGTATTGTTATGCCATAACTGTTGTATAATTATAATAAACGGTTTAATTACCCAAGTTTGAGGTTTTCGGCATTGTGACTGCTACTTACAAGAAGTCCCGCGTGGCATACACAAAAGCGAGCAGCAAATTCCGACCGAATCATCTTAACTACTTGGTATTCCTATATAATCGAGTAGTCCCACCATATTTTGGAGCATTGGCCGCTTGAAAGGATCCATCAGGTCAAGGAAGTTACAACCAAGTACGTTAATTCTTCAATCATGTCCAACCTATCACTGGCAAGTCACAAACGGATACTCACGCGGTATACTAACCAATTGCAAAAAGTTCTAACCCGATTCAAAGACGCGCAGTTAGAAGAAATCAGCGTTCAAAACCTGCAAGATGAGATAACGCCCACCGTTATTCAAACAAGCCTACAGCAGTTAGAGGAAGCAGTGGCAGCGTTAGAAAACATGACCACAAAGATTCAACACGCACTAGATGAACTCGCTACCATGTTCGAAAAGTCACACCCAACGTCACCGAATATTGAAGAAGAGTTCGCACAGTGCTCAACTACTGCTGAAGAAGCCATTGGCAATACTTTCGAATACCTTGTACTCCTTCATGCTCGGATCCATGGCTTCAAGGCTCATGCTGAGCTTCTCAACACATCCCACAAACACTCCACTACGAATAGTAGTAAAAATGAATCCACCGTCACCGCAGTCGTGAAAAATCTGGAGCTACCCACAAACCCAATCCCAACATTCAATGGCGACATCTGGGACTGGGATAACTTTTGGGAGCTTTTCAACTTAAATGTACATTCACAAAATCTTTCAGAGCTACAAAAATTCAATTACCTACTTAACTCCTTAAAAGGGGAAACTCTACAATCGATGAAGAAGTTCCAACTCACTAGGCAAAACTACTTAAAAGCCATAGAATTCCTCACTAATAAGTACGGTAATCCTGAAGAACTCATTCGCCAGCTCCTCAGAAAGATGGACAAAATCTCCCTTCACTCGTCGTCCATACACGAGCAACGCAGACTATTGGAAGACATAGAAGCCATCATAGGCCAATTAGTGCAAAAAGGTGAAAATGTCGACAATCAGTCCATGTATCAAAAGGTTCTTTCGAAATTTCCAGTCGGGATCCAACGTAAAGTTATTCACAAAAAGATCACTTCTCCCGACGAACCCTTCACCATGCAGCAGCTTCTAAAATATTTTGAAGTGGTTATAACCAGCGAGGAACAGGTATGTCGCCAGACCAGCGCAACACCTCCTCGAGATACAGTTAGCTTCGACAACAAAGGCAAACACTGGAAGCCGCCGACAACAAGGCTCCTGTGCATGTATTGTAAAGGCGACCATAAGCCTTTCTATTGCAGTAAATACGAAACACCTCAAAGAAGATACCTTCAAAATAATAAGCTATGCAATATTTGCGCCTCTCCATCCCACAGCACAATTCAGTGCAACGGGTCGTTATGTCGTAAGTGCCAGAAACGTCACCACACAGCATGCTGTCTCTTTCCGACACCAAACGAGAAAACGTTCGTGCCATCTACGAAGAATGCGAACGCCAAAAACGAGGCCAACGCCAGTAAACACAAAGAGAAAGAGCTTAAAAAACCGACTTCTACGTCCAAAATAAACCACGTCGGACAAGAGACACCGGCCAAAGACAAAAGTTTCACGAAATCTAGCACAAAACTGCAGTCAACTTTCCTACCCACAGGGGAATTGACTATAATGAACCCAACCACAAAACAATTAGAGAAAGTTTCGGTCTTACTGGACACGGGAGCTGAGTTATCCTTTATCGACGAAAATCTTGCACAAAAGCTAGGTCTACCGAAGATAGAAGAAATTAAACTGCGGCTAAACACATTCGGTTCATGCAATGTGCAAGAACGCGTTTCACGAAAGGTCCCGTTACAGGTATGGGACGCGGACGGCCATCAAATATCGTTATTCTTGTTCACACATAACGCGATAACGAAGCCTTTTAAACCACCGCCAATTTGTCCAGAAGACATAGACTTCATAGTAAAAAACAACCTCCAAATTGAGATAAGTAAAACAAGGCCCGGGGTCCAACCTGCCATTCTACTCGGATGCGACCAACTGTGGACTCTGATGAAGAACGATAAACCGCACATTGAACTACCATCCGGGTTACAACTTATCCCAACGCGTCTAGGTCATTTATGTACAGGACAACTAAAAAATCCTCCTGCGCTACAAAAAGAAAATGATAACATGTTATTACAAGTACTACACAGCGAGGAAGGAAACACATTGCCCATACAGGATTTCAAGGATGAACTAGACAAATGGGATCAATACTGGGCACTATACGTGCAAGTCGATGGAGAGAAAATGAATAAGTGCAATCAGCATCGGACGCTAGAATGTCAAGTCCATGCTTGCCTTACTGAAGATTCAGAGACGGATGAGAACGAAGCAGTCAAATGGGAACAATTTTGGACCCTCGAATCTGCCGGAACAGAAGAATTCACAAACTCCGCAAAAATGGAAAAAGCACTGACAGATCAGCACGTATGGGAAACCTTCAACAAAACCATTGAAAAAAGGTTAGACGGATATTACGTTCGTCTACCTTGGAAAGACATACAGCTATCACTACCTGATAACAGAGCAATTGCACTCAATAGACTCATAAGTGTTTGGAAATCCCTACAAAACAACAAAGATCTGCTCGACAGGTACGATGGCATATTCGAAGAACGGCTCAGCCGGCACATCCTAGAAGAAATCAACGAACAGGAAACGCCACAAAGCTCCCGAGTTCATTACATTCCTCACCAAGCAGTCTTAACTCCCAATAAAAATACCACTAAGATCAGAATAGTTTTTGATGCATCAGCACACTACAAGGGATGCCCATCACTCAATGACGTATTACACAGAGGACCAGTAATCCTCTCACAATTGTTTGGAATCCTCCTTCGCTTCAGAATAGGACGAATGGCGATTACATCAGACGTTGAGAAGGCCTTTCTTCAAGTCCGACTCCATGAGGATGATCGCGATGCCACACGATGCCTTTGGCTACATGATTACAGGCTACCACCATTTCCGAACAACATTAAAACCTTACGATTCACCAAAGTTATTTTCGGATTAAATACATCACCATTTCTTTTGGCCGGAACAATACATTTTCATCTTGATCAATATAAAGAAGAAGCAGAATTAGAAACGCAAGTTAAAGACAACTTAAACGTGGACAACCTTGTCGTAACCCTCGATGACCCCGAAGAAGCATTTCAGATCTACCTACGCACAAAACAAATATTCAATGACCTCAACATGAATTTACGCGAATTCGCTTCCAATAATATTGACCTAATGGCAAAAATACCCTCCGATGATAAAGCGGACACCCAATTACCGAAAGTACTGGGAATACCATGGAACACCGACTCCGACTGTCTGCTGATAACAAGCATGACAAGAGCAAATCAAAGTATCACCAAGCGAACGGTGGCTAGCACATTAGCTTCGGTATACGACCCTATGGGCTTTCTAACACCTTTACTCCATAAAGCAAAGGTATTCCTACGCAGCCTATGGAAAGACGAGTACAACTGGAACCATATTCTACCAGATACCCGCAAAAACGAATGGTTAGCCATATGCACGGAAATGCAAGGTTTCACGAAGCCTCTACCACGTTGTCTTGGAACAAAAAATACAAAATACATTCTAGCAACCTTCGCCGACGCCAGCGTTGAAGCTCTGGCCACTTGCATTTATCTATGCTCCGAAAATTCAACCAATCTTCTCATGGCAAAAAGCAAACTGCCGTCCTTAAAATCTACATCAACCGTTCCAAAAATGGAGCTGGATGCGGTAACCATAGCTATGCGATTAACCAACGCCGTACTGACTCAACTCCGAAAAACCTTAGAAATCCAAGAAATTTTCATCCTTTCGGACTCGGAGATCGTACTTAGCTGGATAAAGCGCAAACAACTGAAGAACGCTGGACTCAGAATATTCAACAGACTACTGGAAATCGAGAGGCTCGTCGACCACATACAAACGAACGGTTATCGCATACTTTTCGGTCACGTCCCATCACGTTATAACGCAGCGGACTGTGCAACCCGTGGTCTTAGCCAGAAGGAATTGCTCGGCCACTTCTGCTGGGTCGGACCACCCTTTCTGCAAGAACCACCAGACAATTGGGAAATCATTTGCAACACGCATAACGAAGGTTCTTTGGAAAAGGATCCAAAACTTCACAATAATCCAATATGCACGATATTCCAGGAATTTCCTCACGAAGAACAGAAACTGTTTCTCGCAAGGCACAATCACTCAGATAAGCAGAACGGAAACGATATCTTTACCCCATTGGGAAAACACTCCCTGACAAATGTTAAAAGAATCGTAGCAGTAATTATACGCTTCATTCAAACCTCAGTTGCCAAGGTGAACATTCGTAGACAACACCGTATCAAACTTTCCACACTTCTAAGTACCACGGACGTCAACCTGAATCCCAACATCTCTGGTGAAGAGATTACTATAGCTGGAAAAGTACTAGTCAGACAGCATCAGTCGTCAACAGTAACCACGTCTATGCTCCAGACTATGAAGAACCTCAACGTCAAACCAGACAAAGAAGGTTTGCTCCGATGTTTTGGACGACTACAAAACAGCGATTTAAGCAAAGATGCCAAAAACCCTTTGCTCGTATTTCAGAATACTTGGCTTGCACAAGCAATCATAGACGATTGTCACAAAAAAGGACACCCAGGCGTTAACCACACAATGTCAATCGTACGAGAACAATTCTGGATCCCCAAACTGCGCGCACAAGTAACACGAATCCTCAGAAGATGCGTACCATGTCAACGCTTCAACAACCTACCATACAAATATCCAGAAAAAAGCGACTTACCTAAGCAAAGAGTTCACAAATCACGACCTTTCAAGCACATTGGTCTCGACTATTTTGGTCCAATAACAATTATTCAATCGGATTCCACCGAAGGTAAATGTTATGGAGCAATAATAACGTGTATGGTGACGAGACTAATACATCTTGACATCGTCCCCGACCTCACAACTACCTCATTCCTCATGTTCCTACGCCGATTCTTCGCCAGACGCGGAACGCCCGCATCAATTACAAGTGACAACGCTCCAACATTTGTACTAGCGGAAACCATCCTCAATGAAAATCTCAAATCCATACAAAATGATCCAGAAGTAAAACGTACAATTGCGAACCATGAAATACAGTGGAAATATATTACCCCATTCGCCCCTTGGCAAGGGGGCTTTTACGAAAGACTCATCAAATCAGTAAAACACTCCCTGTACAAAACACTTGGAACCGCAAAGCTCTCAACAGAGCAGCTAACAACGGTAATAATAGAAATCGAATCACTCCTTAATACGAGGCCACTGTTATACGTAGAATCGCAATCCGCGCGAAAAGAAACGCTTCGACCTATCGACTTCCTTCAAAAAGACTTCGAAATTTTCACCGCAATAGATGAGATTGCCAACGAAACATGCGACCCCTCCTATCTACCATCAGAAGAGAAAGTCGTACTACGAACAAAAGAACAAGTCATCAAGGCTTTAAATTCATCTTGCAGATTAACAGAAAAATTTTGGACAATTTGGAAATCTCACTACCTAACATCACTGCGGGAAAAGCATCAGAGTAATTCTACACAAAGAAGCTCAAAATATACGCCTAAAGAGGACAATCTAGTATTAATCAACGACCCGGCACAACCTCGATATTCGTGGAAGATGGGTAGAATTAAGGAACTCGTCAAGAACTCACAAGGTATCGCACGGGAAGCCGTTATTCTACTACCATCACACCGTCTAATTCGCCGACCACTCAATCTTTTAACACCCTTAGAACTAGATGAACCTTCATTACAGCACATACAAAGAGACCAGCAACTCGAGACATCAGCTCCACAACCAACTAGACAGCACGAATTACCAATAGAAGGAAACGACACAACAGCGCTCACAGAAACAACCCCTAAAAAGCGGACAGGTACATATAACTTACGACGCCAGCAGCAAATTGATTATAACAAACTTCTCAACCCTTCACTAGCAACAACTTCAAATGTTTCACTGATCCTTAACATTTTATCCCTATTAACTCTTTTGGGGCAATGCTCAGCAGCAAATTCGAACCGGCATACCAACATCCGCCATATAAAGTGCATCAAAGGAGGAATACAACTCCCGGCAACACCCCTTACCAGGTATGCGCAAACGGTTACTGTAAAACGTTAGAAACTCCAGAATCCTACGAGATAGTCAGTCTTCCACCGCACATAATTCTACACGAGCACAAAATTCAATGGAAACTCGCGGATAACCAATCAATCGATATCATCGAAACAACATGTCCACCGTCACCATTCTGCGAACACCTCAACTGTGTACTATGCGCGGAGCTAATTTTCAATCCCGAATGCTGGCCAACNCACGAGCACAAAATTCAATGGAAACTCGCGGATAATCAATCAATCGATATTATCGAAACAACATGTCCACCGTCACCATTCTGCGAACACCTCAACTGTGTACTATGTGCGGAGCTAATTTTCAATCCCGAATGCTGGCCAACAGGTGCAATACTGGCATCAGCAATTGTCATTTATTACATTGTTACCGGCTGCTACGTACTACTATACGTACCACTCACTCTCGGAAAACCAATTCGAGTAATATTTCATTTTACTTGGCATGCAATACGATCGGCAATCACCAGTCTGAATCGGAAAATCAGAAGACCTCGCTCTACGCATCACAACATCAAACTCAGCAAACTAATAATGATCGCAATTTCATTTACGCTCACATGTAACGGTTGCCAACAGGTAAATCTGTTCTCCCATATAACAACACTCTGCAGGCAAGAACAGAGAGGCCAATTTTGTGATGTCCAACTCTCCGAAGTCTTAAAAATCAACCCTTTCACAAGAGAGGCCTACTTTAAACTACTCAACAACGAAACATCACTATACGAAATAAGAATCGAATGGAAGTCATTAACACTAACTTGCGAACCCGAAACGGACTTGTTTACGCGAGATATCGCGCACCACGTCATCGACAGCAAGCGATGTCCACACACAGGATCATGCAAAGGAGAGAAGTGCACAGGAATAAATGCCACAAGTCTCATACCAGAACTTGCAATAGGAA